ACTTGATTGTTTTTAACGTCAGCCCATTAATTATTAAGTTGGCTTGAACATTAGCTTGAAATGATCTCAAATTCCTTTAAGTCCTTTAATTAATTAATCAGTCCCTTTTGAAATAAGACTTGAGGTGTGCCATATTAAGCAAGCTATAATTTATGGCCTTCAAAAGATTAGTTCAAACATCCTTTGAAAAAAATAGACTTGAGGTGTGCCATTTCAGTAAATAACTCATGGCCCTCGTATAATTGTTTTAACTCTTAAAATTGAGGTGCGCCATCAATTAAACTTTCTGTGGCCCTCGCAAACTTAGTTATTAATTCAAACATTCGTAGTTGCTTTAGGCGCGTTCTATAAATTGGTTTTCTTTTATTTATTAACTTTGGGTGCACATTTTATGTGACCCAAATTAATTTCCCCACAACGTTAAATAGAACGTGTCGCGAACCGCGGGTGCATTTCATGTGGCATGGTTCAAGGCATGTTTTAAATGATGTTGAATCTTCTTAAAAGCGTTCTAAAATATTTAAAAGTGGTTAATAAGTTAAAATGCACATAGTTTTAAAAATGTGTAATTAAAATTAGATAGGCTAATTTTAATAGTTTAAGCGACCGTGCTAGAACCACGGAACCCGGGAATGCCTAACACCTTCCCCCGGGTTAACAAAATTCCTTACTTAGAATTTCTGGTTCGTAGACTTCAAAAAGAAAGTTGAATTTTCTTGATTTGGGATTTAAAATAAATCGGTGACTTGGAACACCAATTAAATTATTCCAAGTGGTGACTCTTAATTAAATAAAATAATCACATTTCGAATAGTGTCACTTAAATTGGAAAAACTCCTTTATACCCTTCCGGGGTGGAAAAAGGAGGTGTGACAGCTCTGGCGACTCTGCTGGGGATCGAACCCAGAATCTCTGGTTCAGGGTTCAAGATTCAAGCTTAGAATAATTGTTATAGTTGGATTGTTTTTATCTGATCTTTGCATGTTGAGCCTAATGTTCTAATTGCCGTTTTTTACCGCTTTGATATTGTTTGGACTGTATATAAATTGCAACGAAGCCCTCCTCTTTCTAAGTCTTCTAAATCATCTGGGAAGTGTGCACTTCGTGTGACTTCTTTTCTGTTAGAGTCATATCCCAATTTAGAACGAGGTTCGAACAAGCTGCAAAGCCGGTGAAGCTTCTGTATTCCCGGTATGCTGCCCCCCTCAGCTCGAGCTATCCGCTCGGGTAAGCCAGGTCTAGAATAGATAAACCTAGGTTTTCAAACCTAGTATAGCATAGCCTCACGCTGGATCCCTAGTAAGAGCGCTTGTTTCCATCACGTGCATCCGACGTTGGGGACTCAACACAGGGGTTGGGTCCGTCTAAGACAGGTGCACCCGAAAACAAAAGACCATCCTGATGCATTTTATTTGCTACTTGCACATTTATTTGACTAGATTGCATGTTTACCGGCTTCTAGAATAAGGGGGAAATTTGAGAAAAACCAAATTGAGGTGAGAGAGAGGAAATTGCCCATCTGTGAAAAACCTGGTGTCCAAAATACCCCGAAACTCGGCCGAAATTTTTCAAAAAAAAAACTATTTCAAAATGTTTGTGATCTCTGTGGCGTGACAGAACTATGCAAGTTTGATTCTCACCAGATGTGGAATACGTAGGCAACCCTCATCCGGTCCAACTCATTTTGCAAAAATAACCAAAAAAATATAAAGTGTCGTTGTTTTGTCATAAATAAATTAGGTGGTGCCATTCTTGCCAAAAATGCCCCAAAAGGCATCGGAAGGCTATTTTTGCAAGAATAGCCACCTAGGGTCCTGTTTCAAAAATTTTGGTTGATTAACAAAAACATGCCTGAAAATTTTTCTTTCTTGGGGTGCTGAAGAGTTGTATTCGCAAGAATGTTTTGTTCTAAATTTTGTGAAAATGGGTGTTTTTCTCTTGAGTCAAAGTAAACTACAGTATTTTAATCAATCACCTTAAATAAATGTGAAGGATGAGCACAATTGAAAATGAACTTTTCACAGTCCGCGAGGAAATCCCGTTAGAACTACATATGTGGCGGAATAATTTGGGAGAAGTTAGAAAAAAAACTGTGATAAAAGCTTTGGGTGGTCTCTTTGGGCTTCTAAAGATTAATCCGAGAAAGGATATAATTGAGGCTTTGATACCCTTATGGGACCCAGCACATAATGTGTTCCATTTTGCTGATTTTGAGCTAACTCTTACGCTTGAAGAAATAGCGGGCTACGTTGGTTTTAGCGGGAATCTCAGAAACCGATACCCGGTGGCATCTAGAACAGTGACTCCTCATAAGTTTCTAGACCTTCTAAGCATCAGTAGGGAAATTCAAGACGGAAATTTGGCCAAGGAATTCTGCACATTCTACTTCTTGTACCGACGTTACGGGAATCCTCGTGGTTTTGAGATGACAGATATCGGTCTTACTCATTCGGGAAACAAAGATAAGTGGGAAGATCGGCGGGGATTGGCTTTCATAGTGGCATTCCTGAGTGTTTTGATTTGTCCAAGAAAAGATAGAAACATAGAGTTGGGGCTTGTGAGGATAGCCGACTTGATGACTAAAAAGGCAAATGGCACCATTGTACCAATGATCTTGGCGGAGATTTACCGAGCTCTAACTGTTTGCCAAGAAGGAGGAAATTTTTTCGAAGGATGCAATATGCTTCTGCAACTCTGGATGGAGGAACACCTGTTTCACTATCCAGGGTACATGAACTGTGGCATGACCGGCCTTAAATGCATTGAAAAACATGAACAACGGGTGGGGGCTATGAGTTTCCGGATGGTACGGAATCATGGTTTACACACTTGAGCTCCCTGACTGCAAACAAGATTGAATGGACATTCGGGTAGCTCTCGGTCAGCAAAGTCATTTATATGTCGGCCGAGGTGTGTTTTCTTCTATTGATGGGTCTTCGGAGCATTCAACCTTATGCCCCGCACAGAGTCATACGCCAGTTAGGCAGGTACCAGACCATCCCGCATGATGAGAATTTGAGTCGGGAGGTCAGCAAACTAGAACCAAAAGTTGCTTTCCCGGAAGAAAGGGTGTGTCGGATTTGGCATCAATGTAGGTTCTTAGAGACAAAGACTCAGGTACAAGACCTATCCAGAGGCGAGTTGGAGCCTAGTTACACAACTTTGTATGGTAAGAGGTCTCAAGTCCATCTAGATCCTGAATGGCCTGCAATGGGATTGGTTGGCAAAAGAGGCAAACTACAGAACCACCATAAGCAAATTGGAGGGACAAATCCGGGATCTTAAATTTGACAAAAGTGTACAGGCCGCAGCCGATGAAGGGGAGTAGAAGAAATTGGCTCAAGAAAACAAAGCCCTTCAAGCACAGATCCAAAAAATGAAAATAGCTGCTGAGAATCAGGAAAGGAGCCGAAAGGATGAAAGACTCATAAGTGGGTCTCAAGAGGAAATTAGCCGAATGTGAGGATGATCTGGAAAAATCCGAGGGTAATCTGGCGAGGGCCTAGGGACAGTTAGCGAAGAACACAGAGAGACGAGCAGAGTTTGTCCGGCAGTTGAAAAGGAAATATGAGGGAACAGTCACCAATTTGAAGAAAAGGCTAACTACCCTTGAAAAGGAGATGGCCAAGCAAGCTAAGAACTTTAAAGCGGAAAGGGAACATTGCTATGCATTAATGGCTCAGTTAAAAGAAGATATGCAACAGTTGTAGGGTCAAAACCTTCATGATGCCCAGGTACTAGAAGCTAGGTCTCAGCAAATAAGGCATTTGCTCCAAGAAAAGGGTATCATCACGGATAGACTTAGAGCCATTACTAACTACATCATCATGAAGTGCCATGAATGTGAAGACATGACTAGAACCACTTTCTTTGTTGCGGTAATGACCTTTGTTCGCCAAATAATGAGTGACCTGGAGCGCCTTCAAGGGGATCTTGCGCATAGGCCCGTGGCGAGACTGGCTGATGTCCCGCGGGCCCCTAGAGCAGTTGAGGCATTGATGTATTCATGATTTTCATTCGAGTCTGTATTTTCATTTTCTCTGTTGGAGTCTGTTAGTCTGTTTTCGAGTATGTATTTTCATCTTTATGTTGGAGTCTGTTAGTCTGTTTTCGGGTCTGTATTTTTATCTTTCTATTGGAGTCTGTTAGTCCCCCTTTTCGAGTTTGTTAGTTTTTATGATTAAATTCTGTAGGGTGAGTCGTTGTAATCAAAACGTTTTTATTTTATGAAAAAATTTGAAAACCCCAAAATGTTTATATATATATTTACACTTATCCCCCAGAACTATGCTTGTTTCTGATTCATGCGGCATCATGATACGTAGGCAATCCCTATAGGATTCGATAATAACCGTGAAATGAAAAAAAAAAGAGAAAGGAAAAACAAACAAAAAAAGAAAACAAGAGAACCGTAGGAAATAAATGATGGAAAAACAAGAGAGTGCAAATGAGTGAAGAAAAACAAGAAGCAAGCAAAGAAAAGCAGGAATGAAAGAAGAGAGAAGTTGCAAAATGAAAATTAGAGAAAGTCGGGATGACGCAAGTAACCGATCAAATGCATAATAGAAATAGTTAACTACTTAGGTGCATTGCATCCCCAACGTGCGGCTGCCTATCTGTTAAGTTCTAATCACTAACAAGTTTATTGTTGTCATCAAGTTTAGGCAGGTGGTTAGTTTGTTTGGCATTCTGGCAACTCACTTGTACAACACCAGGTCGGGGTGTTCAAAACTGATCTGAAATCGAAAACCGAACTGAACTGAAGCTCAATGGCTTACTGGTAATGGGTTAACGGCTTAACGGACGGGGAACAGATTGAAATTTTTTTGTTAACGTCTTATCGGTTTGGGGGCGTATTATTCAATTTTCTTAACGGATAATCCGTTAACCCGTTAAGAATATATATATATATATATAATTTATTTTTATTTATATATATTAAATATAAAAGACAAAAACCCTTGACCCTTCTGTAATTCTGTTCCAGTAGACCAGTACTCTGTCTATCTCTATTCTCTAAGACTAACCTAATCCCTAATGCCTAAACTAGAAGCCACCGCCCACCAATCCTCGTCGTCGTCGACTTCGACCAGCCACTGGTCTCCCTCTCGCCGTCTCGCCTCTCCCTCTCGTGGCTTCTTATCTTCTTATCCTGGTACTCTTAGTTACTACTACTAGTTTGCTTAAGCTATGAATATGGCACAATGATCTCTACTTATTGCTATTCCTTCTCAGAAGTCAGTGACGACAGTTAAATTAATTAATCAAGACTAAATGATGATCCTTAATAATTGTGTTTTCATCGTTTAGTTCATTGCTAGAACATGCTCTAGTTTTGTTTAACGAAGGGCAAGAAAAAGGATTTAATTATCTTAAAATTGATAAAGAAGAGGCTAGTCTTGTTTAAAATTTTGGTACTTGAGTGATTTCAAGGATAAGATTACTCTGAAATGAATATGATAAGGATTGATGGACCACAAATATTGGACCTTGGACGTAGCAGGGCCAAAGGTGAAAAAAGAGAGAGGGTTCTTTATCATTTGATCCTCTGTAATTGGAAATCCAAGAACTCACAAGTCCTTCTTGGTTGCTGAATTCCATGGCACAAGTTCCTTTGTGCGTTTTGTTTTGAGTTATGCCAGGAGCTTTTCTTTTGGGGAATGGTCACAATCTGGGAAAAAGTAAAATGTTATTACCTAAACTATTCCATCGATTAATACATGGCTGAAAACTAGTCCATTACAATTTGATGTCTTTATTCTCATGTCTTTTCTTTTCTTGTTGCAGTGACTCATACATGGCTGAAAATATACAAAGTGATAAGGTGACGATGGGTGAAAGTGGGGCTTCTAATTCAAATGCAATAAGTCAAGCTCAAGCAACAGAGTCAAATATAAACAAAAAAAAAGGAGAAAAAAGTCTGTTGTATGGGATCATTTTACAGAAATTATTACTTCTGAAGGGAGTACAAAAGAAAAATGTGACTATTGCTTTATTGAGTATGTATTTAAGACCAAAGACGGTACGTCGACACTTCTTTCTCATATGCTTAAGTGTCCTACAATGTAATAGGTCATATACATGTAAATGGAAAGTGCCTTTGAAAAAACTACTGATTAAACTATGGACATATGAAATTTGTCCTCTCAAACCTTACAATTTGGATATGATAGCAATATAGTTTCATGCTTATTGGCCTTCAAGTTGGATATGATAGCAGTATAGTTTTTCTATCTGATATATTTAGCTGGTATTCTCTTAGGTAAGAGCTTTGTAGTAGTAGTTTATAGCAAATAATAGTAGACAAAAAAGTTTCAACTTTTACTTTTTATATTTATGGATCTTTGTACTTGTAGTGAAGCATGTATGTGCCAGTTGAAGTTTTGATTTTTTTTGCTAGAATATGCATTCTGTTTATCAATAATTGCACATTTTACGTCTCTCAAAATTACTAAGTATCTTTTGGTTACCTACAAGATCATCCTTGTGTAGTGTATGTGATTGCCACTTATTAGCATCCATCTCAGTGTCTTATATGTAAAATTTTTATCATAATTCAGGCGAGATGAGGGTGATTATTATGTAAAGAGTTAATTATCTGGAGTTGCCACCCCTAAAAGGTGAGAGGCCCTCCATAAATTTATATTGGTTTTTTAGCAGATTGCTACTGATGATTTTCTTGTGTTTTTCATGTAATTGAAATAGGAGAAGAAGTAGAGATGGAAGTTGGAACCGGAAAATGTAGGACGCAGGAACAGTTGCAGAAAACAAATGTGTACAATTTTAAAATGGACAGTGTTCATTTTAATACTCTGCTTTGGGATGTACTGGACAGTGTACTGTACACATTTGCATAACAAAATTATTCTTGAAAACAAGTGTGTACAATTTTAATACTCTGCTTTAGGACAGTGTTCATTTTAATAAATTGTAGCGTACAATTTAGTGATTTACAAATGGGTTCTGCTTTTTCACTCATTGTTATCTAGGCAGACCAGTAGTTTCGAGTTCTATATGTAGACTAAATGTGTAATTTCTATTTCTGAATTTGTATGCTAGGTTGTTAGCAAACAATTAATGCACGTAATATAAGTTGAACTAGGCCGATAAACCGCCCGATAAGAGTTAAACTGATACCAATCCGCCCGATGTCTTATCGGGTGGCTAGCGAATTAATACATTTAAAAGTCGATAACCGTTAAGAGTAAATAACCGTCCAATCTTCCCGATAAGCAACCCTAACACCAGGTCCAAAGACAAGTTGATCATGTCCAACCAAGAACTCGATGCAAGTATTATTGATCCGTCAAGAGAGGGGAAGAATCCGATGTTAATCTGAAGGAGGAGTTGTATAAGCTGAAACACCAGATGGCAGAGATGTACCAGGCATGGGTAAAAGGGCATCCGCCACCATCTTACCCCGCCAAACCTGCTTTTGTCCCGCTGTTGGCTCAATCCCAAGAACCTCCCACTGTTGATTCGTCTCCAGGCTTCCCCATTTACCACCACTACCAAGGTACCACTTCCCAAACCCCACAAGCTCCACCACCCAAACCAGTCCTATACCCTCCTCCACCAGCCACCCCTGTCTTTGTGGCACCCCTACCCGCTACACT